GGTGGTGAAAACCAGTGAGGATTGTGAGGCAATCCAAAGGGATCTGTCAAGGATGGGCAAGTGGGCGTAGTAGATAACTCACTGAAAATGTCGACAGTGTATGACTGCAATAAAGAAGGTCAATGCTATGCTGGGGATTATTAGGAAGGGTATTGAAAACAGATCAGCCAATATCATAAAGCCCCTATATAAATCAATGGTGAGACCTCATTTGGAATACTGTGTGCAGTTCTGGTCACCACACCTTAAAAAGGATATTATAGCTTTTGAAAAAGTGCAGAAAAGGGCAACTTGAATGATAAAAGGGTTGGAACACTTTCCCTATGAGGAAAGGTTAAGGCGCTTAGGGCTCTTTAGCTTGGAGAAACGATGACTGAGGGGTGACATGATTGAGGTTTATAAGATTATGCATGGGAAAGAGCAGGTAGAGAAAGAGGTACTTTTCTCCCTTTCTCACAATACAAGAACCCGTGGGCACTCCATGAAATTGCTGAGCGGTCGGGTTAGAACGGATATGGACAGCTTCAAAAGGGAATTAGATAGGCATATGGAGCAGAGGTCCATCAGTGGCTATTAGCCACAAGGTATAGATAGGGACTCTGGGGGCAAGTGATGCTCTGTCTTCTTGGTGCTTGGGGGGGTCAACAGTGGGAGGGCTTCTAATGTCCTGGCCCCACTGCTGGACCTCCTGATGGCACCTGGTATTTCTGGCCACTGTGACAGAGTGTTGGGCTGGATGGGCCTTTGGCCTGATCCAACATTGGCGTCTCTTATGTTCTTATGGGTAGTGAAGGGCGGGGTATAAAGCCAATCTCTTCTCTTCTTCTTCTCCTCTTTGGGTGATTTCCTGATTATTACAACACCACCCAAACCAAAACAACTCTCAAAAATAGCTCGCTATGTCCTTAACTTTCAAGCTCACAAATTAAAACGGGTTTCCATTGATTAGCCAACAAAACTTCAATCTCTTCTCTTCTTCTTCTCCTCTTTGGGTGATTTCCTGATTATTACAACACCACCCAAACCAAAACAACTCTCAAAAATAGCTCGCTATGTCCTTAACTTTCAAGCTCACAAATTAAAACGGGTTTCCATTGATTAGCCAACAAAACTTCAGTTAATGAATGAAACCGTTTAAAGTGGATGCAACTTCGATGGCTCTTACCTCACCAGAGCATGAGTACAAGAAATTGCTGTATAGATAGGCCGACAGCCAGAAAGTCTATAGACACAATCACAGAGCTGGACATTTGCCCCCCACATGCGCCCCCCCCCCCCCAAAGGCGCTAAACAGTTCTAATGCTCATGGTTGCAAAGTTCCCTGTGCAAAAATTTGCAGGTAAATTTCTCCCACAGGTATTTTAAAAAACCCTCGGTAGGGTGATTCTTAAATAATATTTAGAGATCAGAGAGTGATCCTAATTTCTGTGCCTGCCTTCCACCCCAGATTCCCTGTTCTCTTATTCCCAGAACATAATGTTGATACAACAAAGGTTTCCATGGATGCGTATGGTGCTCAGGATTGCTTTGCCTTGAATAGACGTGCGTACAAAGTAATATGGGCAGATATTGTCTAGCACCCCAGGAAAACCCTTTTTCTACACGACCACCACAGGTACAAGGGCCCTGTCTTCCTATGCATTGGGTCACCCTACTATGATCCTGACGTCATTGGCCTATACATGCAGGCAGGCCTGCCCATTTCTCTTCCTTGAGAAGGGAAGCGAACACATAAAATGTGAAAACCCCAGAAGATTTGAAACGAAGAGGAGATTTGAAACGACAGTACGACAGTACGACAAGGATGTATATTGTAACCTTGCTTATTTAATATATTTAATATATATGCAGAGTACATCATGTGAAATGCTGGCCTGGATGAATCACAAGCCGGAATTAAGATTGCTGGGGAAAAGATCAACAACCTCAGATATGCAGACGATACCACTCTGATGGCAGAAAGTGAAGAGGACCTTAAGAGCCTCTTGCTCAGAGTAAAAGAGGAGAGCGCAAAAGTGGGCTTGAAGCTCAACATCAAAAAAACTAAGATCATGGCATCCGGCCCCATCACTCCTTGGCAAATAGAAGGGGAAGTCGTGGAAGTGGTGACAGACTTCACGTTCCTGGGATCCCAGATCACCGCAGACTGTGACAGCAGCCATGAAATTAAAAGACGCCTGCTTCTTGGGAGGAAAGCGATGGCGAACCTAAACAGCATGATGAAAAGCAGAGACATCACCCTGCCAACAAAAGTCCGCATGGTCAAAGCAATGGTATTCCCAGTAGTCATGTATGGCTGCGAGAGTTGGACTATAAGGAAGGACGAGCACCGAAGAATAGATGCTTTTGAACTATGGTGCTGGAGAAGACTCTTGAGAGTCCCTTGGACTGCAAGAAGATCAAATCAGTCAATCCTAAAAGAAATCAACCCTGACTGTTCCCTGGAAGGCCAGATAATGAAACAAGCTCAAATACTTTGGCCACCAAATGAGAAGGGAGCACTCACTGGAGAAGACCCTGATGCTGGGAAAGATTGAAGGTCAAAGAAGACGGGGACGGCAAAGGATGAGATGGTTGAACAGTGTCATCGACGCAACGAACATGAAATTGAGCCAACTTCAGAGGACAGCGGAAGACAGGAGGGCCTGGCTGGAGCTGGTCCATGGGGTCGCAAAGAGTCGGACTCGACTGTGCGACTGAACAACAACAGATGAAAACCTTGCACAAATAGGACTTCTGAATGCATTTGCTTCCCACCCATTTCAGTTCAACTTATTTCAATAGCTCAGGATGAGGTATCGGGATCAGTCTAGCAAATTACAATATTTCAAAAGCAATTGTCTAATTTGCACAAGGAAAAAACAATGGGAGAACATTGACGAATTCCATCACTGTATTACACCCAAATCAAACCCGGGGGGGGGGGGGGTTTACACTGAAACATGTTGTTGCAATAGAAATCCAAACTCCAGACCTCCCATGACTTTCAAGCAAGCTATTAATTATCCTCTGCCAAAGAGTACCCTATAATTAGTTTATATCCAATATTAAACTTGTTATTGTGTTCTCACGGGCCATAACAACAGGCAGCCTGGTGTTTCAAAAATCAAATGCAAACCAGCAAGAAAGATAATTTTAAAGCTCAAGCGAGTGTGAAATAAGAATACAGTTCAGTGGAGGTTATAAGTCAAAAGGGCATTAAGCCGTAGCAGCAATTGGAAATGTTGAAAGCATGACTCTAAGTGCAATTGAAATACAATTAAAGCGTTATTGGAGGATGGAGATTTAGAGCTCCGCATCATAATCACCAAGTTCATTCACCGCTGATTAAAAGTACGACTGTTTTATAGCAAGAACCTAACCATGTTTACTCACAGGCAACACTTATTATGATCAGTGCTAATCCACTGATATTATTTAAATTATACTGCATTTTGGTAAAACTGGCCAAGCACTTAGCAGACCATCTTGTTTAACAATCCTGTGCGACCGACCATTTTCTCTCCCCCCCCTCCATTTTACAGATGGAGAGCTTAAGAAAGGATGCCTTACTCAACTATTGTCCAAGGAATGTGCAATTGGCCCGTGTGCCTCCTAAACTGGAACTCAGTGGATTCTCTGCTCCGTCAAACTTGATCTCTTACCTACGAACAAGATAAGAACATAAGAGAAGCCAATGTTGGATCAGGCAAATAGCCCATCCAGTCCTATACTCTGTGTCACGCAATGGCCAAAACCCAGGTGCCATCAGGAGGTCCACCAGTGGGGCCAGAAGCCCTCCCACTGTTGCCCTCCAAGCACCAAGAATACAGAGCATCACTGCCCCAGACAGAGCGTTCCATCTATACCTTGTGGCTAACAGCCACTACTCCACATGTTTATCTAATCCCATCCTGAAACTGTCTATGCTTTGTAGCCACCGCCACGTGTTAATTACTCTTCGGGTGAAGATAGTTAGGAAGCTCACCGACACTCCATTTAAACTTATTGGAGGATGCAGTTGTTCCAGGGTAAGATCTATAGGCTTATTCCTTGTCATTTATTTCATTTAGTACACCACTTTTCTCCCAATTGGGGCACCGAAGAGCCTTACGACATTGTTCTCCTCTCCCCCACTGTATCCTCACAACAACCCTGCCAAGAGAGAGCAACTGACCCCAGCTTTGCCAGTGAGCTTCCAGGGCAAAGGGAGGATTTGAACCTGAGCCTCTCCGATCCTAAGCTGACACTCTAACCATGACACCACCCCATTCCATATCACATAATGCATGAAGCATTTATCAGCTACCATCAACAGGGGAAGTTTCCCCGGACACTACCTCTTCAAACTGCACCAGTTGGCTTTCTGCCTGGGGTGCAGCTATTCAGTGGCCCAAGTTTCCTGGTTTTGTTGTTGTTGTTCAGTCGCACAGTCGAGTCCGACTCTTTGCGACCCCATGGACCAGAACACGCCAGGCCCTCCTGTCTTCCGCCGTCCTCTGAAGTTGGCATCTGTAAAATAAGGGGAGAGAAACCAGCCCCAAGAGCGCGGCCTCTAATCTGGGAGAACCGGTTTTGATTCTCCACTCATCCACATGTAGCTGCAGGGCGACCTTGGGTCAGTCACAAGCTCTCTCAGAGCAGTTCTCCCAAGAGCACTCCTCGAAAGAGCTCTCTCAGCCCCATAGGGTGTCTCTTATGGAGAGGGGAAGGGAAAGGAGACTGTAAGCCACTCTGAGACTCTGAGTGAAGGGTGGGGTATAAATCCAATCTCCTCCTCCTCCTCTTCTTCATAGAGTTGTTGTTCAAAGTGCTTTATAACTGGGGGGGGGGAATTCAGGATAATAGACGCCAACAGTTTGACTAAGGTAGACTCCCACATTCCTATCATTATGACTATTTATAAAATTTGTATTCTGCCCTCCTGCCCCATTAAGGTGCATGAATCAATCATTGTCATTACAAACATCCAGGTAGGAAATCCTCCTTTCAATGGGACTTCAGAACCTCAACCTCTTTCCCCAGCTGAGTCTGCCAGGGTTGCCATCTCTGGGTTGGGGGAATACTTGGGAGTTTGGGGGAGGAAGAGCCTGGGGAGGAGAGAGACCTCATCAGGGTACGATGTTCTACAGTCCACCCTCCAAAGCAGCCAGTTTCTCCAGGGGAACTGACCTCTGCAGCCTGGAAATCAACTGCAACACCAGGAGGTCGCCAGGCCCCGCCTGGAGGTTGGCAACCCCACCCAGCTCCCAAGGCAAGCTGGATTGCCAACAGACTGGAGGGGAGGGGTAATACCTGTGCCTTTAATAAGAGGGATAACGCCTGGAATTTGGCAAGGGAAGCTTTTCAGGGCAGGAAGGTAAATAACACTCCAGCTAAGCCAAGCCTCTCTTAAAGGCGGTTTCCCAAGCGGTTCGCGAGCCTATCTGAGCCTCACCGCCTTTCCTTCTCCCTCCTAACAAACGGAAATCAGGCACGGGAGAGATCCAGCCCCCCACAAACGAGCAGCGCCGGCCAGACTCGGGCGCCGGTTGCTCTTTCCGGCGCTCCTAACACTCACGGGCGTCTAGCGAGCGCCACGTGGGCGCGCTCGACAGTTTGTGGAACTCCGCAGTGCCGCGATGAACTTGAAGTGTTCATTTCCCATATGCGGAACAGATGGCAGACTGCCAAGCAGAGTGGCGGCGGCGCCCCTTGGCACCGCCGTCCGTCTGTCCCCTGTTTTGCACCGAGCACCGGGATCAAAGGGTGCCGTGGGGTTGCCAACCTCCAGGTTGCACCTGGAGGTCTCCCGCTACAACAACGGTTCTCCAGGCGACCAAGATCAGTCTCCCTGGGGACAATGGCTGCTTTGAAGGGTGGACTCTATGGCAGGATACCCTGTTAAAGTCCCTCCCCGGCTCCAACCCTAAAAATCTCAATTTCCCAACCCGGAGCTGGGCCCCACCATATATTACTCTCTGCAAAGCCTTCTGGGGCTTGGGCATGTCTAACCCCCCCCCCCCCAAAAAAAACCCTGACCACATCTGGATCTGGCTCCATGCCGGACATCAATTCTTACCCCACCATCCGGTACTGAGGCCCGAGGTCAAGTCTGGACGCGCCGCTCTCTGCGCCAATACAATCCGAATCCACAGCGCATCCCCCGGTCATTGAAAATACACGGCTGGGAATTTTAGGGTTGGATCATCCTTATTCCTTCCAGATTTGGATTGTCCGTCATTTTCAGATACTACTGAGCCGAGGAGCCAGATCTTACCAACTGTCTTTGCCCAAGCAGAATATTTTAACGTAAGACGGTTCCAAGGCCACCAGGAAAGAAACGCCCAGCTCTCTTGCTACGAGGTCGGAGGAAACCCGGCACGCCCCCTCCAAATGAATATCGGAGAAATAAACTCTCGCCATCACATCAATGGACACGGTCCAGAATTTCCTTTATATTCTCACAGGCTGTCCGATTCTTTTAACTACGTTTTAACTAAGGCCGATTTCAGTGTTGCTACCGATTGTAAGTATGAGCAGGAAGCCCTGCTGAGTTCCACTGGAACCCAATCCTATTTCTCTTCACTCGGAAGTTACCCGTGCAATCCAATGCGGAGTTCCTCCAATATAAATCCATTGATTCCCGTAGGTTTACGCTGGTGTACACTTGCATAGGCTTACACGGTAACTTCTATGAGGCGCTTTAACTCCTAAACCCGCAAGTTTAGGATAGCACTCCTTTAAAAGTTTTTGCTCATGAGAAGGATTGCCAAACGGTGTAAAACCCCCCCCCCAATAAAAAGTATATGAGTTATTAACTTTTAGTGGCAGCAAATTCTTTTCCTCCCACTCTCAAAGTTCCCTCTTATTACATGACTGGTCTACTAAAGTTAGGAGAAAACGTGACCCAACCCACGTGTAGGCAGAAAGACGCCAAGACCCGCTTTCCGTCGCAGCCCCCGCGCATCCTCAGTCACGGAAGTGATCCCCCACTGTGTTTGGCGATGCTTCCTCTCGGGGGGTACACATGCACGGACTTACACCCTCGATTCGCCAATAAACAAAAAGGCGACGCTCTCGATGTTCCCAAGGAACCGCCGGAGTTCGCGAGGGGAAGGGGTCGAGGGCAGCCGCCCGACTCCGGAGTTGGCTTTTGGCGTCAAACTTCGCGTCCGGGTCCCCGGGAAGAAGGCGCCGCGGGTTGTATCGTATGCAAATACGCAAGCTGACGTCAGAGATCATGTGGGCTTTGGCGTAGATCGCCACTGCCGATCGGAGAGATTTTTTTTTTAATTTTTTTGAAATCGCCACTGGGTTTCTCTCTTTTTTTGGGGGGGGGAGGGGGGCTTGTTTGGGCGAGAGTCCCCCGGCGCGTCTCCCCGCGTTCTAGAACGCGCGCCCGAGAGTTCCATTTCGGGGGAAAGTTCGCCTCGCCGCGTTCCAAAGCTTTGATCGCAGGTAAGGGGAAAACTTCGCCCTCCTTCCCTCCCTCCCTTCGCCTTCCCCTTCGCTCACCCGCCCTTGTAGAGCAGGGGAAAAGATTTTTTTAAAAAAACAGCGGCACCCTTGATCGGAACAAGGAAGTGAGGCTTGGCCACGGGATCTTCCTTTAGCCACGTTGGACTTGTGGGCTCCGCAGCGCTCTGCCCCGAATCGGGAGGTCGGGCTCGGCACGCAACTTTTCCCCGTCCCCCTGCTACAATGCTCCCGTTTCGTTGAGAGCACGGGAGGTGAAAAAAAGTTTCCCCCCCCCCCCCCCTCCTCCTCCTCCTCCCGAAATAAAACATGTCTACGTTTCCCTGTGTCGACATCAGCGATACAAAATATGGCGTCCGCTTTCGAGAGGGCGTTACGTAGAGAGGCGAGGAGAGGAGGCGATCTTGGAGAGGCAGCCTTGGAAAAAGAAGCACCAGGGCGCGCTGTCCCCCCCCCCCCTCTTGCACAGCTGCAACCCTGGGGGATGGCAAAAAAAAACCTCGTCCAAGCGTTCGCAGCCCCCCCCCCAAGCCCCCCCAAGCGTAAGCCACCATCGGCTCCAGCTCGGAGTTGGCACCGATCGGGGCTCGCCGTCTCGCTTCCTCCGCCCCCACCCGCTTGGCGATGTGTCCTGAATGTGGCAAGCCAGGCACTTTCTCCCCCTCCCCCCGGTAATTGCAGATGGCACCAGCAGCGGAGCAGACGTTGCTTTTCGACGGGAGGGGGGGGGTCCACGAGGAGACGGGCCAGAGGTTTCGAAACAACAACAAAAAAGAAAAATCACGTTTGCCCCCCCTCTCCAAAATCTTGCCTCCAAATCCGCCCCCCTCCCGGCTTCCACTGTAGGCGACCGTTCCTTTTTCCTCTTCTGTGCGCATCCCTGTTTTATTGGGGGGGGTCTTTAAAAAAAAACCCACAAATCTTCTTGCGAAGTCTTCTTTGCCCATGGCTAGTGCATTTTTTTAAAAAAATCGCCCCGGTTACTCCTACCCGTTGTTGTTGTTGTTTTCACGTGTTGGTTTGTTCCTTCTGGTCCCCCCGACCAGAAATTCTGCCTGTGCGTTTTCGGGTTATTCAAGTCCCAAAGTAAACGGGTTTTCTTTTGATGGCTTCATGTTCATATCATGTGTGTGTGTGTGTGTTTGATTTGCACCTCTCCTGGCAGGTTCACACAGGGGGAGACAGAAAGCAGGCATGTTTTCACCCCCTCCTATTGGGGGGGAGGGGAAAAACTTGATTCCCAAGGAACTGAAGTTGTGATTTGCTGCAGAGTTCCACCTGATTGATTGACTTCAAAGCCATGTGAGGGTCTCTGCCCTGGACTATTTCCTGAGTGCCTTTTGTTTGGTGTGGGAACTGCTGGTTGTGGGTTGTTTTTTTTTTAAGGTACATTACACCTTTCTTTTCCTCCTTGAGATGGCATCAGCAATTTTGGGCTGATCTAACACTTGGGTCCAGCAACACAGAAGGAGGAGGGTTTTGTAAGGGATGCATGCACCATGTGTAGCGAAAGGGGTGCAGGGGAAAGTAAATGACAATCATTTGGACAAAACGCAAGGAATGTTTAGTTGTGCGGGATTCTTCGTTTCCACACGAATGAGAGTTGGTAATCATTTGGACAAACTGCAAGGAACAGTTTTGAAAAATGCCAATTTTTGAATTGTGCGGGATTCTTAACCGGCCTTTGTCCAGTAGAAGTACCGTTCTGGATCATGGCTGGATTTCATGTTCAGTAGAGCAGACCTATACAACACCAAATCGTAGCCAATCAGATGCTAGACCACCATCCCCCTTTTTTCCTTGCAGTTTAGGCTATCAGGAGGTTTATCTGCTCCCTAATAGGCTCTTCTGTGCAGATCTGCTGTAGTGATTACAGGGGGGGCAGAATCCAAAAATTGAGTTAGGTACCAGGAAAGTTGAGCAGAAAGAATATAAAATGAATTAAACCAAATTAATCAGTCTTGTGATACGCTGCACTTCAAATACAAATTTAAAAACATAGGCCTTGAATTCAGCCTCTAGACTGACAGCCACTGGACTAAGTAGTCCGCAGTGTACATACATAATGCATATGAATATCTCAATGCTGATGACGTACAAACAAGACCACAGTCACAGTGACAAAGACCAAACGTGTTTCGGCTCTATGGGCCTTCTTCAGTGGCCACAAGGACACATATACACCAAGAACGAGTGTTGATACACGACACCAAACAAACCAGGTGTTGATTGATTCACATTTGATTCCATGTGGCCAAATGGTGCCAGTTATTAAAAATGTGAATCTTGTTCCATGACTTTCATGCTCACGTGTGGGGGGGAAAAAGGTATGATGGGCCCCGTTCACACGGAGAAGTTGCCACGCTGAAGACACGGGTGATAGGCGGATTTTCCGGGCGCGATCACACCGCAACATCTGGGAAGCGTAGTGCACCTGTGGCTTTTTGCTGAAGATGCGGAGTAAAAAAACCACCACGTACAATGTACTAGTTTCTGGAAAACGCGGGGCAAGGGCGGGCGTCTGATCGCGTTTCCGCTGGAAACCCGTGGCATCCAGCACCCGCCCATGTCCCGTTGCAAACCGGATTTTTTTTTTTAAGTCTCCACAGGATGCGCACAAACAATCACACACATGCGCAAACTTCGGTGAGACAAAAAAAAATCCTGTTTGCCACGGAAGCGGCGTGATTGCCGGTGTGATCGCGCCATGCTGCTTCTTTGCCACGCTGCAGACTAGCTGTGTGATCGGCACCTAACGGCCTAACCACAGGACCTCGACAGGACGTCTGATCGGGCTGCCATACGTTACTTTGTTCTGGGGCAAACAGCCACGCTTCCCCCCCACATTTTCCGGCCCATGTGACCATTGCAAATTATGTCTAGTTTTAGCAGTTCATTTCCTTGTGGTGTGTATGTATGCCTCAACTAGCAATTGAAAGAATAGCAGTAGTGATTGACATGCTTTCTGAGGGAGTATTGGCAGGGTCGGTAGATCAATTATAAGAGCTCATACAAGTCCCTGGCTCTCAGGAAGCAGGGCTGGGAAAGACCTTTCCCTACCTGAGATTTTGAAAGAGTGGCTGCTTATTTGAGAACATAATAGTGAATGGGAGGTACCAACAGTCCTGCTCTGTATAGGCAGAATCCAGTACCTTTCCTATAACTTTTAATATGGTACCAGCATTCCCTCTAAGCTGAGTTAGTGTGAGGTTAGCTCACAGTTTTTTAGTCTCCAGCTCACACATTTTTGTCTTAGCTCAAGGAGGATGGCTCCAGAACCAACTAATTTATGCAGCAGCCAAATCGCTTGCTCACAACTTTAACGCCAGGAGCTCACCAAGTAGAATTTTTGCTCACAAGACTCCACAGCTTAGAGAGAGCATTGTATGGTACCTTATTTGTTGTTGCGGTCTACCTCTGCAATTGACGTGATAAGAAGAATCACATAACAGCAATCAGAAAGGAGAATCCGAATAGAGGAACTGAGATTAGTGAACCCCCTAAGACATAAGAACATAAGAGACGCCAATGTTGGATCAGGCCAAAGGTCGATCCAGTCCATCACACAGTGGCCAGAAATACCAGGTGCCATCAGGAGGTCCACCAGTGGGGCCAGGACATTAGAAGCCCTCCCACTGTTGACCCCCCCAAGCACCAAGAAGACAGAGCATCACTTGCCCCAGAGTCCCTATCTCTACCTTGTGGCTAATAGCCACTGATGGACCTGTGCTCCATATGCTTATCTAATTCCCTTTTGAAGCCGTCCATGCTTGTAGCCACCACCACTTCCTGTGGCAGTGAATTACAAGTGTTAATCACTCTTTGGGTGAAGAAGTACTTCCTTTTATCCGTTCTAACCCTACCACTCAGCAATTTCATGGAGTGCCCACGAGTTCTTGTATTGTGAGAAAGGGAGAAAAGTACCTCTTTCTCTACCTGCTCTTTCCCATGCATAATCTTATAAACCTCAATCATGTCACCACCCCTCAGTCGTCGTTTCTCCAAGCTAAAGAGCCCTAAGCGCTTTAACCTTTCCTCATAGGGAAAGTGTTCCAACCCTTTTATCATTCGAGTTGCCTTTTTCTGCACTTTTTCCAAAGCTATAATATCCTTTTTCAGGTGTGGTGATCAGAACTGCACACAGTATTCCAAAAAGACGGCTGGTTGGTTCCTAGCTGGGGGACCCTCCCGTCTGAAGACCGCTTCTCCACCGTGAAGGAGAATGTAGCCATGTCTTCTCTTGCTGTCTTCTGCTCCAGCATGCCGTGGGGCAAGATGAGCAGGGGTGGAGAGGCTGCAACTGCATTGCTGGAAAAGATTGCACCAGAGGGTTACCTCAAGGGCTGCGTGCAACCATCACGGAAACTGGGAAGTGTTTGAAGAATTCTGTAACCCATTCAGAGTCCAACAGCTATGGTGGCGGTGGAAGGGCCATCGAGTCACAGCCGACTTATGGAGACCCCGTCATGGGGTTTTCAAGGAAAGAGACATTCAGAGGTGGTTTGCCACTGCCCGCCTCCCATACCTATAGGTCCTTGTATAGCTAAAATTGGCTTAAGTTAAGATGTTGGGTCCAGATTTATATTTAAACTTTATATGGAACATTGAACTCTCCAGTGGTGCATTATCATTATATAATATAAACTGTGCAGAAAATTAAGTCACAACAAACATGTCCTGTGCGTGCCGTAGACATGTGCAGTGTTATTTTTAAAATGAGCATGCATAACAGACTTGCTGGAGACTTTGAGTGTGGTGGATTTCTTACTATGATATTCAGCTCTGTGACCGTTCAGGAATAGTGCCTACTAAATTCGACATCGCTGCGTTCGTTCTGACATCACAGCAAGACTCTTTGTCTTTGATGGGCCCAGGCATAACTTGTTCTCTTTCCCGTGTTATTTATTATTTATTTGTTTGTTTGTTTCGATTTATAGCCCGCCCTCCCCACAAAAGCGGGCTCAGGGCGGGTCACAGACAGGTATACGCCCACACATAAAAACATTTTTAAAACCATTTAAACATTATATGACATTACAAAATTACATATATAAAGTGCTCCAGATATTTCACAAAGATGGCGAACGTACTGCTGCTCTACTAGCTCAGTGTCCTCTGTTCCGGACAATGCCGGCGTTCTTTCCTCCAGGGCCAGGTAATGATGGTACCATAGTGGCGGCTCCTACTCAAACACCTGGCGGAAGAGCTCCGTCTTGCAGGCCCTGCGGAACTGCATTAAGTCCCGCAGGGCCCTGATCTCCTCCGGGAGCTCGTTCCACCAGGTAGGAGCCGCCACCGAAAAAGCCCTGGCCCTGGTAATGGCCAGCCTGGCCTCCTTCGGGCCTGGTATTACCAGGAGATGTTTCGCACCTGACCGTAGTGCCCGTGGGGGAACATATGGGGAAAGGCGGTCCCTTAGGTATGCTGGACCCCGACCTCCTGCTTCTCATCTTACGTGGAACACATGTGAATCATGTTAGTCTGTCAAAGTCAGTCTATCCTTACTGGCAGTAACTTTCCAGGATCTCCAGTTGAAGTAATTCACATCACTTGTTACCTGGGTGTTGATATTATTAGCTGGATCATTTTAACTTGAGATGTCAGGGACATGCAAAGCAGATGCTCTTAGTCATAGAATCATAGAATGTTAGTTGGAAGGTACCCTTTGCCTCTCGCTTATACAGAAATCTCCTGAACCAGGGCAATGAGAAGGTTATACAGGCTGTGGCAGTTAGTGGAGGGATGGTCTCTTCAAGGTACAGAAGTCAAAGACAGCATATAAAATGTTCAGGAATAGAAAACACTATGGAGCTGCAGAAAAAAAAGTTCACATATATCAGTGAGCTTGAAGTTCCTGGAGCAACATCTTGAAGGACGTTATGGATGTTTAGACCAGCAAGAGATAATTGTAATTGTAATAATTATCTTATGGCATTGTGTGTATAATAGCCAGGAGATCCTAAGATTGTCTGGCAGCCGGAAGTTCTAGCTCTTTTAGCATTATGCACCACTAGGTGGTGAGCTAGACTTGTTTTTAAGGTAAGAGACATATCAGAGGTGGTTTGCCGTCGCCTGACTCTGCAACAGGACCCTGGTATTCCTTGGAGGTCACCCATCCAAATATTTATTTATTTATTTATTTGATTTATATCCAGCCCTCCCAAAGGCTCAGGGCGGCT